TTCACTAAGAAAACCCTCTGGCAAATGCCAGTCTTTCTCCAACAGTTACAAATTGTTCCTAAAATTAGAGAAATATTTTAGCTAATTGAAAAAGTAATTGAATTAACTACTATATTTAGTCGATTAATTAGTCAACTAAACATAGTAGTTAACCAAACAGATTCTAATTCTTACTTGAGGTTACTTTTTTCCATACCACAGCTATAAAATCGATCGCATCTTTGATAGTTATCTCTTCAGTGGGATCACCAGATTCCAAAAAAAAATCAAAAGCTTCTATATAGTCTGCACAAAAAAATTTTTTATAATGCGCCTACATAGATAATAAAACAAGACTTAAAAAAAAAATTTAAATAAAAAAAAAAAACTAAAATAAAAAAAAAACTTAAAAAAAAGAAAAATAAAAAAGTTTAAATTAAAAAAAAATCTAGATAAATAAAAAAGCTTAAATTAGCTAACCTTAAAACTCCAAATTATTCCCGCATCACATGGTTGAAGATGTGCTGTTATATGTGAAGGAAAAAAAATGCAATTTAACGTTTGTTGGGGTAAAGCCTTCTTCAAATGCATGAGTTGATGCACCATCCAATAGAAGAAGAATTGAACGGCGAGCAAGTCGCATTTGGTTATCTAGATGCTTAATGTAATTGTTAAAAATTGATGTTTGCATCCAAGAGGTACTATTCCAGTAATAATACACGGGTAAGGTGAATTTATCAATATTTTTGAGAGCTCGAGGGGTTTTAGATTTATGTATAAACAAAGGGGGGAGTTTGTGATTGCCGGTTGCATTACATGTAAGTAATATAGTAACATAGTCTTTGGCTTTTTTTTTCTTGCAACTGGGCTATCAGATAATGTTTTATCGGGTTTCATACGCTAGTATAATGCAGTTTCATCAGCATTATAAACATCCTCTGGCTTGTATTTTTTGATTAGTTCTTGCAGCTCACTGTGAAATCTGAGAAGATTCTCAAAAAGTGCATTTGCACCTTCACCTAAATGTTTGTATTCCTTTATATGGTGCCTTTTTTTGAAATTTGAAAGCCACCCATCAGATGCGTTGAAACCTGTCACTTCAAGCCCTTCCGCGAGTTGTGTTGCTTTATGTTTGACTATTGCTTCCGTAATTGTTTGCAGTGCAGTATTTGCTCTTGATATCCAAAGTGCAAGTGCTTCTTCTACCAGAGGGTATTTTCCAACTCTTTGTCACTTTGAATGGGCATTGTTCGAGTTTAAATCAAGTGCTAACCACTTTTCTTTTTTATGAACAATACCTGAGATTGTAGCTTTGGCTATACCAAACTGTTCGGCTAGTCTAATTTGACTAACTCCTTTTTGCTTTAGGTTGCATATTTCAGCTTTCTGAATACCGGTCAGGCTTTTTCTTGTATTGGGTTTTTTTTCTTTACTGTATTTTTGTTTCTTTTTCATCGGTTCTTTAGAAGGTCCTTCCATTGTTGCCATTACAAGTGATAAGAAACAAAAAAAAATAGGAGGGGATGTTTTTAAAATAAGAAATAGCACAACTTCATTTACCAAAATGAAAATGACTAAGATGTAAAAAAAAAAAATAAAATAAAGAGGCAGCATTTTAATTAAAAAAAAAAAAAAAAAAAAAAAAAAAAAAAAATAAATCTTAAAAAAAAAAAAAAAAAAAAAAAAATCTGCCTTTGCACAATTAAGTGCATTCGAATGATTTCGTTTCATCTTTTTCCATTTCAATAACATTGTTCAAGAATAGATTGCCATAATTTAAAATTCTAACTTTTTATTTCCTCCAGAAGTCAAGATCTAAAGATCAAATGTGAAAAGCCAGGTTGACTACTCGAAATACAGTAAAGTTTTGTGTAAGGTGCAAGAAATTTAAGAATATCAATCTCCCCTATATAGAAATAGTGCATAAAATCATAACATGTTAAAAATAAATTTCTTAAATCATCGATGGTCTTTGCATAATGGGAAGAAATAAAGTATTGTGTAAGGGTTGGTAATGAAGCAATAATTGACGAAAAATGTAGTAATCATGTTTATGAATGTAATCATAAAAATGTAATGACTTTACTGTTGAAAAATGAAAGTTCTTTGTCGATCATAGCGTGAAAAATTTTGTGTTACAACGGGTATGACAACTGATCAATTAATTTGATTGGTCAATAATAATCACATGATAAAATCTTCTCTATAATGCTAGACATTTTATTATATCCGTTTACAAAAATCTTCACTATAGCTAATATCGAGAATTTACTATTTAACTTCACTATATAGGGTGAATATTTATTATTATTGATTCTGTTCTAAAAAAATTCTTCACTATAAACCACTCTTCACTATAATGAAGGTTCACTATAACGAGAGTGACTTGTATGTAAATTATTTATCATATAATATATATAGCAATTTTTTTTATATAACAGCTTATATAGTAAACACAAATTTAATTGGGTAATTACCTGTTTTAGAAATATTTTTATTATATTTTTTTTGTGTAATCTCAGGAAATATAAGAAATCTCCAAGAACTTTACAATATATATATGTCCATTTTTTTAAAAAAATATAGTTCCTGAAAGTTTTACTACTATAAATAGAAGGTTTGATTTGTATATTACAAAATTTTGATAAAATTTAGCTGTAGTTTTGAGAATTTTTACTAGCAATGTATTTTAATTTATATATAAAATTCTATTATATCACTGTAATCATATAATAAATGATCGATATATACTCTACTCTTAATTGGATAATCTAAATAATAAGTGAGTTATAGGAATGGCATCTAGTATAGAATCTAGTAATAGGCAAACTACTTAAATTAGACGCTCAAAAAGCACAAGTATGGCTAGAATATACCTTCATCAGAATGTATTTGTCTGAGGCCTCCTTGAAAAGAACACCATATAATTCTATAATCTAATAAAAGTGATAAGCCAAAGAGGCTAACCTTAATTACAAAATATATATATACTATATATATATATATTTTTTTTTTTTTATTACTTAAGGCAAGGTCATACTTCTCGTCTTTATTAATTCTTTAAGTTATTATATATTTCACATACAATTTTACTTATTAAACTAATTTCTGACTCAAGACTCAGACTACTTTATCTGTGATCGTGATCTACCAAGGTATTCTGTATCCCACTTACATCTTTATCTGGATTTTGTGCTTCACAACTAACTAATTCTAGTTACCCAACAATATTCTCTCCATGACTCACAATCAAACCTCAGTAACTTTCAATTTGGTTCACTCAGGTTATCAGTCCCTAAAGGCCTCTCAGATTGGTATGCCTGCAGCAGGAATGAAACCTACATCTACAACTACTCCATGTCCACCTTTTACCAGTTCTTGTCCATCTTTGCAGGTCTTAATGTTTCTTTTTTAGTATTTCATATTCTGTATAACTTATTTGTCCCTTAAGTACTTCCTATTATAGTATTCGTTAAGAACTTGTTTTGAGATATATCTCTTCCAGCCATAGACCTTTGTTGTACATATTGTATAACTTCCAGCTTGGGGTATCTCAACCCTGATTGGTGTGGTATTTATACTAGTAAATTCTTAACTCTTTTCATCATAGACTTTCATATAGATGTGACTAAAGCCGATTTGGTTCCTTTAGTTGTCCAGAAATAGGTTATACCCTCTATACCAAGTAACTTTCCTAAATTAGTTGTTCCGCAAGACCAGAGGTGCTTTCAATTCTAGTTAAGGTATAATCCTTTACCACAGCCTATAGTCATGTATCACCGCTTCTCTCACTACTTCAGTTTTAGCTACTATCATATCACTCTCCCAAGCAAGTACCCCACAAGTTGGATATAGGGATGTTAGTATAGCCTCCAGGTCACCCCAACTGAAGGACTAATTCACACGATCTTCATGTAATCTAACCTTTTGTGGTATCGTATTATACATAGTGTCTATGCTTCATGACCTGGTCTCCTTCTGGAAACTTTTTATTCTGGTTTCATACTGCACTTGGACTTTCCACAAGGCTTCGTATTTGATTTAATGGCTCTCGTAAGTTACAGAAGCAAATTTTATTAAAATTTGCCTTCAGCCCGACTTGAACTGTTGACTTAGTCTGTGGGGTTGGAAGCTTAATCGCTAAACTATGGGACTCAAACTCATATATATATATTTATATATATTCAAATACAAACTAGTTTGCAAACTTCAAACTCAAACCTAACCAAATCTAAATATTAACTAAAAGTTTGAAAGCAAATACAAACTTTAATTAAAATTTTAAAAAAAAAAAAAAAACTTTATTAAAGTTTGGTTTGGTTTGGGTTTGTAAGAATACTACTTTTATATATGAAATTTATTAATATATTTCAATACTTATCAAAAGGAAACAATATATATTAATAACTACTAAAAACAAAACAATACTTATCGATATATATTAATATTATAGTAACAGCTAGAGTTGTTTGCCATAATTAATTACAACCTTTATGACATATAGATTGCAATATTACAACATATAGGTTGTAATATTATAACTTGTTAAAAACAGCAGACAACTCTAATAATAGCAATATATTTTGAAAAATATTATAATTTTTTTCTATAATATATTCTAACTTAAAAATAGTTAATTGCCTTCATCAAACCTTCCAGTGTTGGGCAATATGGACATTTGGACTTATAAAAAATAATATGGACAAATATGGACATAGTAATTTATGAACATGAACATATAAGTTTGGACATAGTCCAAATCTTTTAAAAAATATAGATATATACCAAGTGTCAATACTAAAACCTTCTCTCAATTTAATATGATCTGATTATTAGAGTCTAATATTAAGGATATTAGAGATTTGAGAAGAAAAATTTCAAGTGCATTAAAAAAATAGCTAAAAAATTTCATATTAATGCCTGTTGTATATATGAGATATGGAAACATAATGAATATCTCTAACAAGATCTTGATAATTAAAATAATTTCTCATCATTACCTGATTCAAATGAAAGTCTTATATTAGATAAGTCTCAAACAAAGAAGATTCTAATTAAAGAAATATTAACAAAAAAATTAGCTGAAAAAAGAAAGTTTGATCAGATTCATATATAGTAAGCTTGAAGAGTAATAGCTCTGCAATAGAAAAAAATTCTTCTCTATTGATAGATTCAAAGAACTATTGCTCTGCAATAATATACAGAATGTACAAACTTTGTTCAATATATTTAGAAGAGAAGCAGATCTTAAAAATTAATAAAAAATACTGAAAAATTAGCTTCTATATGTCTATTTTTGTCTTAGTAAGCTAAAAGCATCTTTCTGCAAAAACTCTATCTATATTTAGAGCTATATTAAGCTATTTTTCAGTTTTTATAAGTTGCTTTTTAGGTAAGTCATATTTTTTTTAAATTCTCACTATCATATATATCTAAAATTTGTTGCTTTGATTTATTAATCTCTGAAGCCTTGCTAAAAGTTAGAATAGTATAAATCTTTTTATATAACTTAATTTGAAATTGACTTTTATTTAAATCAAGAATATCATGAATTTTTCAAATTTATGTCATATTTAAACATAATATTGGTTCAGGTTCATCATTATTAATACAAGCAAAATTTCTAGTAGCTATAATAATCTTATCATTTTTGTTTTTATACTAATTATCATATCTGTATACCATTTCAATGATTCAGATATATACCCTTTATAGCAAAGTCAGAAGGCTTATCAGCTTTCTATCCCAGGGCATTCATTAATTGTTGCATTATTTACTCCTCTGAATTTATTTGTGCTATTTAAAAAAGAATTGGTGATTAATAGATCATTTATATTATAATGCAAGTATTGCAATAACAAAAACTATTCATCTGATTTTGATCTTTTCTTCTGAACTATATAAGACTAATACATTTTATGCATTACTAATAAAAGCTTTAGCAATAATTTATTGTATATTTCAGGTTAACTAAGTTTTAGAAGTATTTTTTTATTTATCAGTACCTGTTTTTTTTTTAACTGAGATGAAGCATACCATCTATTTTCATCTTTATTATATCTACCTTCTTTATTTTTATTATCATCTGAATCAGAAGATGTATATTAGAATTGGAAAGATATTAGAAGAGGAAAGTATTAATATATTGAATTTGATTTAGCTATAAGTTTTTGTTATTAAGCATTATCCTCCCAAATTGAAATATTATTTAACCAATTTCATCTACTTTTAATTTTATTCTATCTATTTTAGCATTTTGATTTGATATCCCAGATAAGATTTTTGAAAAGACTTTATAAGATAATTTCTGTTAAAATTTTCTGTATTAAATATATTTAAATTATATAAATATGACTCTTTCTAAGCAAATGCTTACAACTTCAAAAAATTGCTACTAAATGAAAATCTTCTAACATCTTTCTAATTTCAAAAAAATCGAACTGGGATTATACTCTTAACCAAGTCTGTTCAATTTTTAT